TAACCACTGTCAGTTATAAATGAATAAATGTTTCCAAGTTATGATGTGGTCAGAGAACTACCTACACTTATTAAAGATATATATATATATATATAACTTTTTATAAATTATCATCATATTAAACACTGACATATAAATGAAGAATATTCTTTTCAATAAACTCTCTTCAGGTTCCACAGTTATATCGAAATTAATAATCCGGAAGATTACCGGATTTCAGGTAAACACATCGTTTAAACTTATGTATAATTTCAAGCCAATAATTTATTGAGTTTCTCGAATCGAGAATAACGACCAAACACTTATAGTTCATAACAAAGGAAAAAAATTTCTCCAAATCATTACTTGAAGTCAATAAATATTAACTATTTGTCAATGTTTTGTTGATAGACGTTTGGATCCACAAGCGGTTAGATTTTCCAAACAAAACTATATAACATTATTACTGTTTATTTTCTTGTCAATTAATGCATTATTCTTGGTGGGATCTAGAAAATTTAGTCCCTTTATTTTCACTATGCACGTATAAAAGGAATGAAAGTTGGAAGTTTTTTGATAAATGGTTAAGATAGACTAGTTTAGTTCTATGATCCCAAAAAACTAAAATAGTGTTGATAATTAATGGACATTTATTTACCATAAACAATTGAAGAAAACCTATCAACAGTTTTACACTCAAGTTTCCATTAAAAAAATTTATTGCGTAGTCAGCCGACACCAAAGTGAAAAAAAATTACCGCTAGAATTTAGAAACACAAATAAAGTCTAGTATAACTCATTTGTTTAAATAACCATTGATCACTGGACATTAAACATTATTCGTTGTTTTTACCTACTTACTTATGCCTGTTACCCCTCGTAGAGGAGCATAGGCTGCCCACCTGCAAATATTAATATATTTCAACTTAAGGAGAAAGGTGAAGACTACAAATGAGGCTTTGTATGATGTACCAAAAATAGATCGAAATGATGTCGGATTACACTGGACTTGTCAGTTACTGATTCCTTGTCACAGTTAAGTAAATTGAACTGGGTCACACTACACATTGATCAATCTATAAATTAATTAGTGTATGCGATTTATATACTCATAAAATTGAACTATTCAAACCAATAAATGGAACTAATTTAATGTACTATACCACTAATTCCTCTTAATATTAGTGAATTACACATTACCTGAAGTTGAATAAACTCCACGATTTCCTCAAAGCAATTGAATTTAGTTGTTACACTACAAAACTTGATAGATAGAACTCAAACATTATCGATAAATTAACAACACGACATTTTTCACCATCAAATGGATATATGATTACTATCTTATATAATTTCACATAGATTTTTAATAACCTGATGAACTTGCTGACCTGTATCCAAAATAAAACAATTTTTTACGACTGTATAGTATGAATGGAAAATCTTTAGTTTACTGAATATGCATTTGCGAGCTGGATGTGTGACACGCTACAAATTTCACTTAGCTAAACGACTTCTTTAAACGTTGGGTAGTTATTAACATTAATGTGTAACGATTATGCTTTTTCATTTGTAACTTTAATTAAGTATGATTTCTAAGATCAAACAAAATGTGGATTTCAGTCACACACTTTCAACTTCTATCCCAAACTATATTAATGTTCGACATCTCTAAGATTAAAAATATTTGAATAAACCAGTGTTGTTTTATGCAATGAAGTATATGTATGTCAGCTGAAATACATGGATTACTTATTCGTTAGCAATGGCCTGTGGGACTTTTAATACCATTATTTGTATAGCTATGTGTAATTATATCACAGTTATATTTCTTTATGTTTACATACCTTAAGGAATTCATTTTGCGTGTATATTTGATCAATGAGGCACTGTGAGAAGTAGACCGGCTGTTTAAGGTTTCCGCTCGATTTGTGCATAAAAACACTGATTTCTTACTTCTTTCTTGATTCTACAGTTACATTTATGGAAGCTCATAGAAACAGATACACACACATAAATGCATTCATAAACAAGGAAATATACCTACCATCCTTCATCCTGAATACTATCATGCAAAATGTAAAAGCAGATAAAGACAACAAACGATTAGTTTACATTTTTCCCCAGCTCCCCCCTCACTCAGTCACCCACACATGCATTTGATGTAGTCCAGTCTATGATTCTTAATGTTGTGACGAGAAAGAGGAGAGAAAAAGAGGAAAACAATGTCAGAAGGAAAATACAACGTTAAAAATAACGGAATTGTTAATAAAAACAAACCAATTTATTTTCTCTATCTTAGTAACAGGTTACACAATAAAATACAAGAAAACACGTGCTGTATATATATATATACATATACATATACATATATATATTTATATAGGTTAAAAGTGGGAGAAATTAGTAAAACTAATTGAATAATTCTTTCATTTCGGTCAGCTTTCTAGGTTATTTTTCTATAGTCTATGTTTTGACATGAAATCATTAAGTAGAAGAAGCAAAAACAAGGTAACAACAATATAGAGTGAGCATGTGTGAGAAAGAGAGGTAGTGTACGTACATGTGTGTGTATTCAATAAATAGAGTAAGAGAAAGATGAATACATACTTATTCATTCATGCATTAAACAAAGGCATGATAGAACATTTGGAAAAAAATAATTACTTAGATCATTAACGTTTGTTAGAATAGTAGAAATAGTTTTACAGTCAAAGAAAAAGAGATAGAGGAAAACCTTGATCAGATTATAAATTATGTGTATACTATTATTGAGAAGATAACACTGAGTATTAACCAGTTGGGATATTATTAAACTGTGAATTTTCGGGTAATTTTGTCAAGTATGTATAATGAAGTTAGGTCATATTGTTTAATGATCCTGAGACGTCGACCCGTTTCAACTAGTCAGAAAACAGTAAATATAATATATATACGTGAATGAACTATGGTCATTAAAAAAATCAAATAATTTTAACAAAGTATATTGATTTTACGTGATTAAAAAATTTTTCCGAACTTATTATAGGTACTTAACTGTTGGAGTGTAGGAATGCGAATTGTGTTCAAATTAGGATTTAATGTTAGTTTATGAATACCATAAATTCTTATACCTAACCGTAAAGCTAACTATTAACCTAACCCCGATTTGAACCAATATTGCAGTGCAATGTTACTACATCTCAAATTTATTCAAACTCACTCATAATTTATTTCATCCTCACTTTCAAAAGTTACTGTGCTTTTTAACAGTCTAACTTATTGTAAGTGGTTAATAAAGTCTTCTCGTCAAAATTAACTGTTGTGCGACTGGATAGTCAACATCTTGGTTTGACATAGTTTGATAAACGTTGTTCAAAACTAATATGTGCTCAGTGAAATTGAATTCGCTTGTTCTATCCTGATTGTCTTGGCAGAAAAGTTTGAATTTAACACAGGTACTCTAGTTAAGGCACAGTGTTTGTGCACAATCTAATTTATCGTATTTATAATTCAAAAGAATGCTATCGCCAGTGAACTAAAGCTTACTTATAGTTAGAGTAATTAGTAACGATTGATTTTTGTAATCAGAACTTCATACTGTTAATGAATTTAAGGTTAAACTTTGACTAATTTAACTTACGAATAAAACAATGCTCCACAAAACTCTGTCAAACATTATAAATATCTGACTCATCAGCTTTACTTATTAGAGTATCTCTGTAAAGATCAACTTCTATTTGAAACCGTTTAAGAAGAGAGCCCATATCACTCACTCTGGAAAGAAGTTCCAGTCACTGACAATACTGTAAGGAATTCAATTTCACCAACCAATTAATAGATTTTCAATAGCCTTTGTGTCCGCTTGAAGATGGCCTATCATAAAGAAGCCGAAACATTGAGAAATCTCAATACTCGTGTTTTTATTTATCATGAAAAGTGTTACAATGAGATCACTTCTTATTCTATGGTTAGACCGAGAGAATTATTTGAGCCATTTAGTAGCTTTTCGTTAGTACTTAGGGAGCTCTTCTAACAAGTAGATTTCTAACTCTGAAACATACTTAATTAGACCAACTTTTTGTATAAAACATGAGCTAACTGAATGAATGCATTGATTTGAAACTGAATCCATGTTAGTCAGATAAGATATCACAAGTATATCTTTGTATAGAAATTTGAAAGGTCCGCAAGAAATCAAGAGTATTCAAAATTCTTCGACCACAGACGTATTACAATGTATTTCTATTTTTAAGTTTCAGTTTGCAGTTACTGTTAAATTTTTGTTCCTCAGTCTGTAACATTGGTAGTGCAGGTGATAAATGTCATGGCGAATGCTCAACAAAATCGATTTTTAAGAATCGTAATTTAAACTATGTCAAAAGATCACCCATCTTAGCTTGAAGTTCATATCTGCTTATGTAAGAACAGTCTTCATAACAAGAGTGAAAAAAATTCTCTAAACTTCATTTTGATATCTAGTCAGAAAGCGAAGAAAATCCTACCAAAACAGTACCAATTTGAATTTTGAAGAATGAAGTACGGATTTGTAAAAACTCCTCGTCCGATAGATATCAATTGGTTTTTGTTGGGTGGTCTTTTTCTGGTTACACTATACTGTGAATTGACTGAAGTTCTAAAATTTAAACTTGTGAACCCTTGTTTATTGTTTGAGTAGTATCTTGTCTATCATAAAATATAAAACTCAAAAATATGACTATTCAGAAGCCTCAAATGATGACATCTTTGTCTTCAAAATCCTAAGGAATTTCCAAAATCGTAGAACATTTTGGAATAAGGATTTAAATAGGCTAGATGTTAGACAGTTTTTCATCATTTGCTTGAGGAATTAGAAAATGATCTCATTTACAAATCATAAAACTAAATCCTTCAAAAAATAACAACATATGTATTTTTAAATTTAAGTACCATGTGATTCAAAGTCATACTGGGCTAAAAATCTTTAAATAAATAATTAAATTTCTAATCAGAATTTCATATACAGTTTATTCACTTACTTATAACTTCATATGTATATATACTTATACTAATAAAATTAGTAAACGTACTTGTAAACAACTGTCATCTATTGTATGTGATTTCCACGATTTTGTATGCTTCATTTCAGCTTGCAATATAACATTATGCTCTTTGATAAAATGATTATTCAATTCATACAAAGATGGAAATAGAACATGACAATGATTACATCGAGTCACTGGTTGTTTACCAGATGAACTACATTCAATGTGATTGACTGTTGACACGGATGTTGCTATAGATGATGGTAATGCTGTTTTGACAGTTGGCGATTGTTCTAATTTGTTAGATCGTTTATTTGACTTAATAAAATGAGCCATTTTTTTATTCGTATCAACATTGGTAAATTGCTTTCTCTCCCAATAATTGTTCGAATTACTAATATGATCATCATTAGTGGTCACAAGTGTATTTTTTCTATACGATCTTTTTCTTTTCATATCAAGATCATAGGATAAATGTGGATGGTTTACTGAACTGTTATCGTTAGTATGCTCGTTTCTTTGAGAATATTCATAATTTAGTTGACAAAATGGCAATTGTTTATTATTATTATTATCTTCTCTTAGTTTCATATTACTACTAATATTATGAGGTGTTGTATGTATAGTAGTATTCATTGAATGTGTTAGTGACTTATGAAGATTAGATGATATACTTAAATCTAAAGGAATTTCATTTGTATTTTCTTCAATTTTTAATACGTCATTAAATTTTTCACATTTCATGTAGGAAGCATATTGTGGGATGAAGAAATGGTTTCGGAAAGTTTTCTGAAGTCCTGATGAAAATAATGATTGGTGTGTATTGTTGTAAGTACCACAACTTTCATGATTTATGTAGTTATTAGTATTGACATTATTCCTTTCATTATTATTATTAGTAGTAGTAGTATTAGTGGAAGAAGTAGCAGTAATATCATTATTATCGTGTGCTTTACAATCATCATTTATATTACTTAATATTGATGATTGTAAAAATGATGATTTACTTTCAAACTTACTCAAATACTTCGTATTATAAAATAATTTATTTTCATTGTTGGAAATAGGCTTTGAAAACAATTCCAAAAAACAGTGAAATGCACGAATAAAATGTTCATTCTTTACAGTTTCATTTGTATTTATGTCATTAAAATAAACAGGTATTGTATTCATTATTGTTGACTAATATTGTCATAACTATTTACAAAAGCAGGATTGGAACTGGTCGTTTGGTTTTCTGTTCGAATATGAAAAAAGAACTCATTGAGGTTTATTTAAAAATGGCATCTCTGATCAGTTACAACTCTTGTGTTTCAAAGCTCATAAGGTAAAAGAATGTACTTCATTGTTTTACTGTTGCTTTATCAATGACTAACTTTCATTAGATCATTAACTAAAAATTGATGCATTTTCACTCAATATTTATTTTTCATTCATAGCTGAACGTAATTTGGTTCAGTTATATCGTTAAAAACAATTCATAGAATGCTTTAAACCTTAGGTTTGTATTAATAAGCAGTTATTTGAATTATTGTTCTTCTTAGGATTTCAACCATTTAAAACCAAGCTAATTCCACTTTGGTATTCAGTCATTTCGTCCAGCAGTCAACATTGAAATTTGACAGATATAACTCAATTACTATAATATTGGTTGTAATTTTGTTGCTTATAAGATGCCACTCGTCTTAGTTAACATATATTAAATTATACCAAATGAAAATAAGATTGATAATTTATCTGAAATTCAGTGCTGTTACATTTAGTGACAATGAGTGAATTGATAACACTAAACCATTCTTGCTTTGATCTTCATTAAGTTGTTTTCAGAATCAACATACTAAAATGTAGTCATCGAGATCGTGAACAAATCAATTTTAGACCATCAATGAAAGCATGGACGACCGTTTTATCCTAGTGTGGGACCCCGCAGCAGTGCGCATCCAAGATCCTGAACATGGGATTATAACCAAGTACCTTCTGCTTCGCGTGCAAACGCTTAAAATCTGCTGAGGAGTCCCATACTGGGACATAACGGCCTTGCAGTGCTTTCAGATTTTCAATGGTGATCTAAAATTGATCAGCTCATGAATTCAATCAAGACTCAACAACCTCCACAACTCTAAACTGATAAAATGTCGTAGCTTACTTATATTAATAAATGGTCCTGACTACTAACTATAAAATGTCCTGTAGCAAAATGATAAATCACATGTATTTATAGTTATGTTAGACAAATTGTCTGAGAAATATTATTTATAAATAACGTCAATCACTACTTTATGACCTATCCATGTAATTAAATGTCTATATCCACTGATTGATTGGAGTATGATCGAATCAATTCACTTTTTTTTGTGTTACACAATTAAGATTGAATCATGAAGATTTGGGAAGATTATAAAACAACCACTTTCTTTCTTCAGAGAACTCAAGACCATCAGAAGCCTACTCCTAAACTACAGCTTTTTTCTACCAACACAACGAGTCCAATTTATGAATATCAAATCAATATGTATTAAAATTTACTGCATAAATCTGTTGTCTATGGAAATCCACATCTTAAATTATGAGTGAATATAATGATATAGAAACGAAGGATTAAGTCGAATAGTTCAGTCTGATTACATTGGAACATCGATTCAATATATAGGAATTTCAGTTAACTAGGATTTTTTAAACCGAGTACATCAAACAGAAAAACCATATGATTTATCTATATCACACGGTTACACAGAACATAATTTTAGTAGTGATCTTTGAACTGTTGTCTTAGTCAGTGATTTTATTAACAACTTAATAAGTGAATCTTTTCAGTACATCATTTTCAGGTATATTTCTGAATAAAAAACGACCAATGTTCATATATTTGATTCAACATATTTTAATTCTACAATAAACTCAAATATTCTGGGGCATTCAGTTTTTGTCATGTATTTTTACACTTAGAAGCCACCTTTGATGAATCACTTACAAATAAAAATATTTAAATTCAGAACTTCTCAATAATTTCTTTACATTATTTATCCTGACTAAAGAGTAGTCAAGTGCCCCCAGCCAAATACTTAGATAATTAAAAAAAATTTATTTTAATTTTATCAAATAGACGATATATCTATTAGTTCGAATTGACAAGACCAAAAATAAATATCCAATTTATTGAGTATAATACAGTTGAGATAACATATCCTAATGAATTTTCAAAAGACTTTTCTGTTAGTCTATACACAAATTTCATGAAATGTATAATTATAAAGTGAAAAGATGCTAGGATCAATGAGTATTCAGGTTGTTAATTCTTGTAAACATCATATCATGTTTGAATGAAGGATTAGTTCGACTTCTAACAGATAACTAATAATTAAGAACAGAATGTTTGTGTTTTTATATTTTAGTAGTTTAGAATAACGACATCTCCATCAGGATTACAGAAAGTCAGTGAATGTAACCGCGCCCCATATGAATTAAACAAAATGGTGAAAACCAGGAGAAATTGTAGAATTGTGTCATTTCGTTTTGAAACTTTTCAAGCCAAGGAAACGATTTAAGACAGAAATACGTACCAATAAGTGTCAGCTCTGATTTCAAGGTTTTTTAAGTATGCCTAATAGGACTAGGTTTGATCCCCTGCTATGTCGCAGAATATGCGGTTCTGAAAAATCCTATACCAGAGTGAAATAGCAGTCGGTTGCTTTGTGATTTCCAGTGATTTTCTTACCAAATTCAGTCCCTAATGTAAACAGGAACTGAACGATCTCTGTCAACATCCTACACAAATATCAACACTTGTTGAGTGATTTATTTCAATTAATTTGACCTGTCAAAAAGCTTTTACTACAAATTAGCATAAGCTTAATAATTATTCGTAAACCAGGATGGTACCGATCAACTGTATCGTTTCAGTTTGAGACTTGTTAGTAGTATGGTTTTTAGATACTGCGAAACCTATTTCTTGAATTGATGTTTTGATTCAATAATTATAGATTGATAAAAATTAATGTTATATGATAATTTTATTATTTAGTGGTGTTAATGAAAAGTTTACTATCTTGTACTTTAAAAAAATGCAAAATACGTTTGTTCCCCAGAGTTTGATTATTTTCATTCAGAAACTTTAAGCAGACTACTGGGGGGATATATTTGTCAAAATCTTGCAAATTTAATTTGCATTTAATTTTGTTAGATATTTCAACACAAGTTCAGTGTAAAAAACAACGTCAATTTCATAAAATAACATACAATCTAGAGGAAAAACTTTCGATTTCAATATTCTATTTTCTATATTTTCATGAATATCTACCTTAACTTTGGCGTTTTTAATGTTCAGTGATTTCGATGAAATGATCAATTTATTGAAAAAACAGACATTCCTCTTCTGGTGGTAAAGGATAAGTAGCGTTATAACCAAATTGAGAAGTAATCAGAATAATGATATATTTGCAATATACCAATGATTAGAAAATAAAATTCTTGATGTTTTGTCACTCAGTGTAAGACACCACTTCAGGGACTTCACGAAACAATCTACCTTAAGCACAATCAATGTGAATTTATCGAGTCAAACTTCTGTCGTAATGCTTAAAACTTAAGAAATATTTATTGTCAATTTTGTTGTAACAATAATCATTTACTTACCAGTCAGATATTTTCTTGACTGATTACTATTAAAACATGAACTAACTAAAAAACTTATATGACCAAAATAAAACAATCGTATATCACTCAGTCAAAATTCATCTACTCTGGATAACAAGGTAATGAAGTAAAAATGAAGCTTGATCAACTGTTACATCTCATTGGTCAGCTGTTACGATGACCGACAGATAAGAGGAGCTATAAAAATTGAAACTCCCCGATACTTGGAATATACATTCAGATGAATTACTTTTATTCCTATGAAGCTGTATTTTCTTGATCAAAGTCATTTCTAACAATTTATCAACTGAATTATAGTACTGGTATTTTAAACTTCAAAATTCATAAATTCATTTAAGTGTCTTACCTAAATAAAACTTGATCTTGTAAGTCATATAAATGGTAGTTGGCAATTCATTCTACTATCCATAATCAAATACTTGAAACAACTTTAGTCAATTGAATTGTTTAGTGAAACGTTAAAAGAAAACAAAAGAAAACACTTTAATTGTCCCAACCCTCCTACTACTTATTTCATCTCTCACCCACGTTTAATTTTGTGAATTCTGTTAATTTTCAGTTTCAGATTCCTGCCTTTTTACTTTGCTCGCTTCCCTTTTAATTGTTAATTTTTTTATAACTTGAAATGTGATTGGACACAAGTTTACTGCAAACAGTGTTCTATTTCTTTTTTGTGATCATGTATTAGTTTCCCTGACTGAAAAACTAGACAGAAAGCAATTGACTTTATCGTACAACTTGATGGACTAGCAAAATACTGAAGTGCAACATTTCTATTCTGATTTTTCTTCACCTGTTAATAAGAGAAAGAAAGATACTGGAAAAAACAATATATGCTGAAAGGATGATTGGTTCACTGCTGATAAACCATTTACTCTCCGATTGGTTTTAATGCTTAAACCAATAAACATAATTCACAATATATAGGAGGATTTCCGATTGTATTGATTTGTATTTTACTTTTTTATTCTAAACGTATATATCATGTTCGGATAGAGTAAGGATAATTTTTTTGAAGAAAATAAGAATTATGTAGATTGATTTATGAATAAAGTAAGCAGTTAGTTAATAGTGAAAAGACGTATTTCTTTCACTGACAATTATTAAATGAATACCAATACTCTGATAACATTGAGAAAAACTGAGAGAGAAAATCATCAAAGGTGAAACAAAGTGAAACAATTTTTAAAAAAATAATAAGATAACACGATCTGAAGCTAATTTAGGCATCCGTGAATAAAAAGACCATATTCATCAAAATAAAATGTAATACAGTAGTTTATTTGAGAGTCCGAAAGCATTTCAGCTTGTAATTAGAAAATAGTGACTTGGAATAACATAATTTTACATATTTCAATGAGTGTTTTGAATCAGCTGTAGTTTTTATAGCATAAAAATGCATATTAATCATTTATAGACAGGGAATTAGATAGATGAATTTACCTAAAAGCAATCCATTTGATTTTTAACCTAACATACACTAGTCGATTTCTTTTATCTTTACTGTCTTATCTTTTTGT